AAAAAAAAAAAAAAAAAAAACAACAACTGAGTCATCTTCCTAATTTAGATAGGGTAGGGGAAAAGGGATAAAGATCTTAAGGAAAACAAGCTCTCCTCTTGAAGAAATTGTCTCAACCCCATTTAGGACACATTTTCTCATAGCTAAGATCTTTTGGGCTAAGCTGTATGGACAGTTAGAAAAACAGTATAATTTTAGCATCAACCAGCCACACTCTACCTCATTCCTGCCTTGGAGTATTGGTTTTCTTGTTCAGTACTCACTGTATGCACCAGGGAGTTCACATTTGTTATTATTATTTCTTTATTTTTGTTTACATTTTAACCCAGTCGATTGTTACAAAATGTTGGCATGTGTACGTTAATATATCTTAAATGCAATTTAAAATACCAAGTATCGTTATTATTAGGATTACTATTATTACTTTGGCTATCCAATTATTGATGTATTTTTTATGTCCGTATCTAATATTGGGGAGTCCAGGAGAAATGAGCAGGAACACTTTCACATACTACATGACGAAGTTCAAATTAGTCACACTCTCTGGAGAACATTTTGGCAATTTATCACATGCCTCTGAGGTGAACATGGCCCATGACAAAATAATTCCGTTTCTGGGAACTTAGTAGAAGTTATATCCACATTAAGATATATGTAAATTATTTCCAGTGAAGTATTTATAAGATAGGGAAAAATTAGAAACAACTGCCATGTCCAATAATAAGGCATTGATTATTTTTTTAAATGATAACTATACAAAAGTTTACCATCCACCATTAAAAATCCACGCTTATAAAGATAGAAGCCCCTAATACATTGATTAGGGTGAACAAAAGGCACATTAGTAAACAGATATATATTATGACCCTCTAAAATACTACGATATTTATTTATGGCTACAGTATATTTATAGATAGATGTAACTATAGATAGATATATTAAAGGTGACATTATATTATTATGTAATATTGTTATATTATTATGATACAGTTTATCATTAAGTGGGATTTTTCTTTATATTTTTCTGCAACTTCCACATTCTCTACATGGAACATGATTTGTTATTATAGTCAGGAAAAAACACATATGCACATACACAGCGAATGAAGATCAATGTTGAAGATTCAAGTTTTGCCTTTAGTCTACCCAGCACATTTTTGGTTTGCGCTCTCACGTCAGCTCTCTGTTGGGTACCCATCCCCCCGTCTCCCAGCTCTGGTTCCCAGCATCCTTCCACTGGCCTTTTGCTTTTTAGCAGACATCCCTCACCTGACGTGTCAGGTTCTCCTCCACAGGTCGTGTTACCAACTCCAAGCCAACAGTTTCCGGAAAGCCCAGGGCTGACTTTGTACCTATTTCCTTCTTGGAAGAAAAGCCAACAAAAGGTGTTCTTAGAGACTCATAGTCATGTTCCTTGTTAATTCCCATTGGGGGAAAGGGGAGCAGGAGCGAAAAAGAAAAAAGGAAAAAGAAAATTTTAGCTCTGTATGGTTGATCGGCACTCAGTATGTTTCCTTATTCATGATGGCTATTAGTTTCTTGATACTGGAGGCTGGGAATTTAAGTCCACATAAAGGATCCAGAAGATGTTATGTGCATTGTATATAAACTATATCTGAGCAAAGCGGAAAGAAAAACGGAGAAGAAAAAGAAAAAACAATGAGGCAGAGTAGAAGCAGAGCCAAAGGTTACTTTTTTGTTGTTTTCTTTTGTAAGTCACAGGGTTGACTGATTGCAGAGGAATTGATATGTTGAAGGGCAGTGTGGTTAGTAGAAAAGATCTCAAGTTTTGGACATGGATCAGATTAATCTGATTCGAACCCAGGCCTTGCCTTCATTGGCTTTGTTACTTTGGACAGAGACAGCGCGATTTCCCAATTAAACAGCAGCCAGAACTTAGAGCTTTAATCCCAGCTCTGCAATTTCTAGCTGTGTGATTTCCCGAAAGTCACTTACCCTCTCTGAGCCTTCACTGCTGTGCATGCAACATGGGGGAGGGGCTCTTTTCTTCTGCAGGATCAGTGATGTCATTAACGAAGCCCCTGACCTGTAGGAGGTGCTTACTAAGCAGTGTCTGATGTTATCACTTTCGATGATAATGATTTCATTCTATTTATATATCTCGCAAAGAAGGAGAAAAACAAGGAGATGAAGAAGAGGAGAAGAAAAACCAGATTTGAGTTGTTCATAGGGGTCACATCAAACTGAGACCTCCTGAATGTTTGGGGTTCTTATGTCTTTTGCTTTTTGTGAAATACAAGAAAGTCGCCGGGACATCTGTGAAGGCATGTGTGTGCTCCTCTCCATATTAGATTACATGTTTTAGGACAATAAATCAGTGAAAGAAAAGTAATAAATAATGCATGCCAAAAATGTGATCATGTTTATTAAGAAGCAACAGCCTTGTCATCTTCATTTTCTTCTTCAGTGACTCTCCCCTCTGAGGGTTTGCTCTTCAGGGACTCCCTGCAATTTAGCTGGAGGCCATTCTCTAATTCTTGTTTGCAAAAATACCTGCTTTGCAAAAATAAGTTAAAAGCTGAGCATCCAGGTCCTCTGATGAGTGGCTCATCAAATCCATCCCATCGTTAGAGATGGCTTCCCGGGGGCTCCACATCTGCATATTTTGTGCTTTCCCACACTCTGTCCTGCCGCTCTGGCTTTTCCGGGGTGAGTTTTTAAGAAGTCTCTTTAGGCTTTCGGATTTTGGAAAAGAAAACAAAAACCAAAAATCAACTTTCCTTTTCCTAGTCCTGGGCAGCTGCTGCAACAATATGTCGACATTAGTGCATTGTGACATCCAAGGACTTTAATTGGGGCTGCATTATAATCTGTTACTCATCACCGTTTGCACTTGAATGACCCTGAAAAAGACAAAAAGGAACCACACTGGCAACCAGTCTTCCAAGGATCCTAGCAGAAAACTCTGTGCTGTAAAAGCAGAGCTGTGTATGTTTCATAAGCTAGAGAAACAGAAAGGGGGCAAGCGAGGCTGAGACTGGGAGCGACGGGGAGAGAAAGGAGAGGGAAGAAGGAGGCAGGAGAGAGGGAGGCAGAGGGTAAAGACAGGCTCGCCCGTGCTAGCGGGGAGCAGCCTGGCTGGGCGGGAAGGCACCCTTGATGAGCTCCTGGCTGAGCTCTTCTCTCTGAGAATGGGATGACAAATTGGCCCTGGGGAGCCCTGGTTCTGCATCCCTCTGATGGGATGTGGGTGGTACAATCTTCCCTTGAATGTCAGCATCTCAGGTTCTGAGAGAGGGTTCCAGACTTCGAGAGTGGCACTAGTTTGAGATTTGAGGCAAGGATGGGTTTGCATGTGCCCGAAATACCTTGAATCCGCCCTCCCATTCCAGAAGGCTTCTGTCATTCTTTTCACCCGGGTTAATTTTTGCTATCCTCAAGGAAAGGAATTCTCCTCCCCAAACTCTAATCTTAGAAAACCAGAGTTCCCCCGTCTCTCCATTTCTCT